AAATGTAGAGAAAAAGCAGTGTCATGGATGGTGGGTGGTTTGTTTTCTTAGTTCTTTATTGAAAACATATGGAGATGTTTATATATAAATAGAAAACAATAGAATGCTGCCGTCATGTAAGCAACAACTAAAAAAATCCTGCATGAATAGAAATCAAACATTTCTATACCTATGCCAGAATTCTGGTTTACTGATATCTACACATCCTGTCTTATTTGGCCTGAAAAGATGTTTTATTATTTTAGGATTTTTATTTTTAGTTGGAAAGAAATTGTGGAGCAAGAGATTTTTGGTTTTGTTTTCATTTCTCTCTTGGCTTAAATTACTTTGTTAGCAGGAACAGTAACTTCTGTCCAAGTATACCTTGTGTTACGATCATGAAAAAGAGTTTTTAATCTATATATTTAACTACATTCTTTGTATTTCTGAATTAAAAGTGAGTACTCGTGGCCTGACAGCAGTGACTTTCAGGAGACTCAGCAGTGGAGAGGTTGAGAGCACAGCTTAGGAGGTAGAATCAGTACTCTCAACTGCTTAGGAGGTGGAAGGAATTCCTCTGGGTTGGAATTCTGGCTACACTACTTAACTAGCTAGGTAACCATGGGAAAGTTAATCAACCTGACTAAACTTCAGTTACTTAAGCTGTAAAATGAGAAATATAAGAGCACTTATATAATGATTGTACACACTCACCAGATGAGCTGTAAGACGTTACACATAGTGTCTGGCTCGTAGGAAACGTCACAGAAATGCTGCCTACCATCATTGTAATCAGCTAACAGGACTTATATTGGGACCATCCTTGAAAATCTGAGAAGTGTTGATGCCCAGTGCCAAGAACATAACAACAGTTATGCTACTGTTTACCAAGTGCTAGTTATGCCCTAGGCTTTACAATGTACTGTTTTTGACAATTCCATGAACTGGGTACCATTATCATCCCATTACAGCTAAAGATTGGTTGATACGTGGGTCAAAACCAGTCTGGATCATTCAGAACCCACACTCTTGATTTCTCTGCTAAAATGGCTGCTTACATATATAGCCTAGGGCACCTTTGAAACCTTCTTTATTTACACTATTCTCTGTGTTCTTGTCAACATCCTGTGACATTGCACAATGGCATTCACAAACTGTGAAGTCCCCTTTCCCTAGGACATCTGTTCATTTGCAGTTAAAGAAGACCAGGAAGCACTTAATGAACACATTATTAAAAACCCTGGTTTTCAATTCATGCAACCACTTTCACTTTGGTCTATTAAGGCCTTTTCTTCAAAGGTGCTTGAAGCTTCATATGGACAGGCTCATTATTCAAGCTTTTGCCCCACCCTACAGATGCAGAACCCAAGGACCAAGGAAACATGACTTGGGGAGGAAGAGGCCATTCACCCACCTTGGTAGCCCAGTGTATCACTTGCTGAGTCAGGAATACAACAGACTGGGCCCAGAGCATTGTCCAACTCACCAGGCTGCTCATTAATGTTGGGCCACAAACATTAATGTTTGTCTAATAGCCAAACTGTGAACTAGCTCCACTTTTTAAAAACTTATTTTAAATTCAGGGGTACATGTGCAGGTTTGTTACATAGGAAACTTGTATCATGAGAGTTTGTTGTACAGATTATTTCCTCTCCCAGGTATTAAGCCTAGTACCCATTAGTTATATTTCCTGACCCTCTTTCTCCTTCCACCGTCCACCCTCTGGTAGGTCCCAGTGTGTGTTGTTCCCCTCTATCTGTCCATGTGTTCTCACCATTTAACTCCCACTTATAAGTGAGAACATGTGGTGTTCAGTTTTCCATTTCTGCATGAGTTTGCTAATGGCCTCCAGCTCCATCCATGTCCCTGCAAAGGACATGATCTCATTATTTTTATGGTTGAATAGTATTTCATGGTGTATATGTACCGCATTTCCTTTATCCAGTCTATCATTGATGGGCATTTAGGTTGATTCCATGTCTTTACTATTGTGAATAGTGCTGCAGTGATCATATACATGCATGTGTCTTTATGGTATAGAATGATTTATTTCCCTTTTACTGGTATATACTTAGTAATGGGGTTGCTGGGTTGAATGGTAATTCTGTCTCTAGGTCTTTCAGGAGTCACCATACTGCTTTCAACAATGGTGAAACTAATTTATACTCCCATCAACATTGTATAAGTGTTCCCTTTTCTCCTCAACCTTGCCAGCATGTATTTTTTTAGTTTTTAATAAAAGCCATTCTGACTGGTATGAGCATTTCTCTAATGATCAGTGATACTGAGCTTTTTTTCATATGCCTGTTGGCCACATGTATGTCTTCTTTAGAGAAGCATCTGTTCATGTCCTTTGCCCACGTTTTAATGGGGTTGTTTTTCTCTTGTAAATTTGTTTATGTTCCTTACAGATGCTGGATATTAGACCTTTGTCAGATGCATAGTTTTGCAAAAATGTTCTCTCATTCTATAGGTTGTCTGTTTACTCTGTTGATAGTTTCTTTTGCTGTACAGAAACTCCTAGTTTAATCAGGCTCCACCTGTCAATTTTTGCTTTTGTTATGATTGCTTTTGGCATCTTTGTCATGAAATCTTTGCTAGTTCCTATGACCAGAATGGTATGCCTAGGTTGTCTTCTGAGTTTTTATAGCTTGGGGCTTTACATTTAAGTCTTTAATCAACCTTTAGTTGATTTTTGTATATGGTGTAAAGAAGGGGTCCGGTTTCAACTTCTGCATATGGCTACTCAGGTATCCCAGCATCCTTTATTAAATGCAGAGCCCTTTACCCATTGCTTTTGTCAGCTTTGTAAAAGATCAGATGTTTGTAGGTGTGCAGTCTTATTTCTGGGCTCTCTCTACTATGTTCCATTGGTCTATGTGTCTATTTTTGTACCAGTACCATGCTGTTTTGGTTATTGTAGCCCTGTAGTATAATTTGAAGTTGGGTAATGTAATGCCTCCCACTTTGTTCTTTTTGCTTAGGATTGTCTTGGCTATTTGGGCTCTTTTTGAGTTCATTATGAATTTAAAATAGTTTTTTCTAGTTCTGTGAACAATGTCATTGGTACTTTGACAAGAACAGCATTGAATCTGTAAATTGATTTGGGCAATATAGCCATTTTAATGATACTGATTCTTCCTATCCATGTAGCTCCAATTTTAACCTACATAGTACATGATTAGGAGCACTCTGCCTGATTTTCTTGTGAAAGAATGGGATCCGCCTGCAATATGGGAAACCACACAAACAAAATTGCTCAATTAAGTTTTCATTTGCAAGATATATTGTGAATGTTGTTTTCTCCTTTTTGCAGGAGAGGGAAAGAGTTTAGGGTTGTGGGTATGGCAGGGCATGCAAGGGAAGAGGCTTAGGACTGCCAAATTACTTGTCAACCTGCTGGCTTAGCATCAATGTACTAGTTAAATGAGTCCTGAATGTAAGATATTAATGCACATATTTTGCATGTTGTTAACTCTAATGATGTTACCATAATGCAGTGGCCACAGCTGAAAGCTGAGGTGGCACTTTTTATTATAAATGCCTTGGGTCTTTCACTGAAAATCACCATGAAGACAAATCTCTTAGAAGTGAGAGTGGAAATATGAGCAGACTTCTGCATCATTAATCTTCTCATCATTAACAATAACAAAAAGTGTTGGTGTCCCAGGGCCCTGCATTCAGTAAATTCCGGCAACATCTTCCTTTAGAACCTGTCCTACTCTTGCCTTTGTAACTACAGTACACTTTGAGAGCAAAAGGTTAGGCAATCATTGTAAAATGGAATCTGTTTTATAAAAAAAAAACACTATGTAATCCTTAAATTGTTATGTAAGTGGAAAATCACTCTAAATGCAGAACAAGTATTGCTTACCCTCCAGTGCTATGCTAGTGATGGTAGTGTGGAGTCTTGGAAAGCAGAGAGTTTCAGAGCCAGCTCTACCATTTGCCACCTGTATGACATCGAACAAATCACTTGACCTCTCTGAGTGAGATCCTTTCCTATAAAACAGCAACATCAATAATGCTGCTTTGTTTGAGTTGACAAAGAACACTAAAGGAGATTGCAAATGTGAAAGCTCTCTGGACGCAATGTACAAATGTTACTATTGATTTTTTACTAGGTGAGTAATGAGGAATGAGTAGCAGTGTTTGTCCAAGGATAGCTTGGGAATAAGTCAACCAAGGTGGCAGTTGGTAAGTCTTGAAGATGTGGATGGCTCCTGGGAAACAGATGAGCTGGCCAGTTTGAAGGGTCTTTAAGTTGCAAGTTTTAGGGCCTGGTAGCAATTTAACTGTGCAAACTGTCAAGAGCCTATTATATTCTAAGCTCGTGCCATGACAATATTGGCTACATGAAATCACTGTGTGCTTTCTTACCAGACTTTATTTGGAAAGAGTTTACGGACTAGTGGCCTGGCAGGGTTGCCTGGAATCAGAGTGCTGTGGTTTTACACGAGGGAGAGCAGTGTTTCATGCCTTGTTTTATTACCTTCCTCCCTGGGGATTCAACAGATGTAGCAACAACAAAATCAGAAACCCAAGACAAACCTGTTAGCTTGATGCTTTTAAGCTTTGGCAGAACTCACAATTAAGACAAGATAGAATATCTATTTAGAGGGAAGAGGTGCAAAGAAATAAGTTCACAGGGCATACCTTCTTTTGTCTGAGCATGGCTAACTCTGCAGATCCCTGCCATATAGGAGGAATTGTATACTGAAACACAGTGAACACTTAAGGAAATTAAGAATATTATTGCTAGTAGAAATAATTGAACAATTTTAATATGGGGCTTTATATTTCCCTTCATTATATTTTTTGAATCCTTTCAAGCTAACTCTTGAGTTTAGCAATTGAATTTAGTAATTGTGCATCTCAGAATAGTTAGATAATATGTGGATCAGACCCTAAGTCAGGCACAGAAACATGCCTTGGCACAGCCATGAAGAGGTAAAGTATTTGGTAATTGTTGTTTGATAGTTCCCAAGGAGAAAGCACAGAAGCAGCAGATAAAAACCAAACTATTTTCTTTTGTGTTTAGGTAAATGTTTCCAACTACAGTCTGGTGATGGAGTCTGACGCGGGAACCTTCTTACCTACTGGACTGCAGTTCACTGGCAGTGAAAAGGCCAGGGCCATCATGGAGGAGGTCATGAGCCTGCTGCAGCCCCTCAATATCACTCAGGTCCTGAGCCATGGAGAAGGGACAGACATCAACTTTTGGATCCAAGCTGGAGTACCTGGTAAGACCAAAAGATGAAGTTGTGTTCCTTGTATATTGCCAACAATTTAAAATACAATTTCTATTCTAATAGAGCACAGTGGATACTGATAGGCCAGGTTGTGCATGGAAACCTCAAGCTTTTGTCTACAAGGTATAATCTGATGATTTCCAAAACTGGGATAATAGTCCTCATCCTGTATTTGTTTACCATCTGTATCCCTCTACTGCTAAATTATAAGCTCCTCACTCTGAGATTCTGATTTAGTAATTCTGGAATTGGGCCTAAAAATCCATTGTTTCATTTTGTTTTTTTTTTTTTAGGAGGTATCTTTGGTGATTATAGCACAAATGATCTCATAACCAAAATTTGAGAACTAAAGTAGAAGGCAGGTTATTACTACAAATATCCTTCTAGAAAAACTTCCCTGATCTAAATAATTCCCCGTTTAAATACTGTGGTATCTGAAATTTTACCATTAGAGATGAATTCCTTGAGGGTGTGGTACTTCCTCTTATTCATGTTTTACCTTAATGTAAGAGGTTGGGCATAAACTAATTTACCCTGAGCAATTATTTACCATGTGAATATCCTGAAGAGAAGTCCTAAGTCCCTGGGAACAGGGATGAAATTATGAAATGGGAGTTCATATGAGGAGGTTACTTACAGGAATAGAAGCTGGAATCTTTTTTTTTTTTTTTGAGACAGGGTTTTACTGTGTTACCTGGGCTGGAGTGCAGTGACAGATCACAGCTCGTTGCAACCTCCACCTCCCAGACTCAAGCGATCTTCCTGTTTCAGCCACCCGAGTAGCTGGGACTATGAGTGTGCACCACCACCCCTGGCTAATTTTTGTATTTTTCTTAGAGACAGGGTTTCGTCATGTTGCCCAGGCTAGTCTCGAACTCCTGGGCTCAAGTGATCTGCCTGCTTTGGCCTCCCAAAGTGCTGGGATTACGGGTGTGAGCCACCATGCCTGGCCTCTGGAACAATCTTAAAGAAGACAAATTTTTACTGCTTCACAAAGTTGCCTAAGCCTGGCTATAGAAAAAGTTTATTGATATTAAGTGTTTGTGACCCAAGGTTGTTCCCTCAACATGATTATATTCATAATCCAAAAAAGTGTTAAAGGATCTGTCTGAAAATTGTTCTGTATTTGCACTATACAAATAGGAAGCCCAACCTTTGAACACTTTTAACATTGCTGTTTTCAGAACTATTTCTATGGCTACAAACATTTCCAAGGCACTAAAACAGTGTCTCTAGACCTATTCCACGCTAGCTTTTTTTTTCCAGACTGCAAAGTAGATTTTACCAATAGTTACATACTATATAGATTTAAGATTTTTAAAAAGTTTATTCTTGGATACTGTGGATTTTTAAGGCATATTTTAAGTTTTAACTTTTATAGTAACTTTTCATAACTAAAAATAAAAGGAGCTTTTCTTTATTCTAATACAAAGACCCAAATTCTTTCCCTTTGTTCTGTGTATATTTTAACATACTTTGGAATTTCTTAAAGCAACATTTCCATTCACAATGCTGTACCTCTCTGGACAGATCCAGTACTATCTACATATGTGTCATTGATAAACATGATCTAAATGTAGGGGAGAGACCCTTTCAGTTATCTAGAATCATTTGTATGAATTTTTAGATGTTTTGTGAGACAGAAATTTTTCAACAGGAACTTCTTAAAATTTGAGAAGCTCTGAATAAGCTTCTATGTAGTTACTGTGAGACTGTGGGTGAGTGAGCGTGTAGACTCGGGTGGTCAAAGGTGAGGTGAGGAACCGAAACCTAAGACAGAATTGGGAACAAAACTTGTCCCTCCCCCTCCCAGGTATTTCTTGCCATGTGTTTGATACTGGAGACTTGGCTCTAGCTTTATCCTTCCACAAGTACATGTTGCATAAGAATGATCCTGTTTGGAGTTATCAGGTTAATTTGATTCTTTTCCCCTAAAATAAGAAAGTGTTTTCTGTCTTTGCCATGGTAAGGTGAGGTCAGGTTTGATTTCTACCTAAAAGAGTGGAGTGGGGAGACTGAGCCCATTATGGATGCATAAGAATTAATAAGAGCTGGGCACGGTGGCTCATGCCTATAATCCCAGCACTTTGGGAGGCCAAGGTGGGTGGATCACTTGAGGTTAGGAATTTGAGACCAGCCTGACCAACATAGTGAAACCCCATCTCTACAAAAAATATACAGAATTAGCCGACTATTGTGGTGCACACCTGTAATCCTAGCTAACTGAGAGGCTGAGGCAGGAGAATCAGTTGAACTCAAGAGGCAGAGGTTGCAGTGAGCCAAGATCATGCCATTGCACTCCAGCCTGGGCAACAAGAGCAAAACTCTGTCTCAAATATAAAATAAAATAAAATAAAATATTTAGTAAGAGTTAAAATGTACTACTGAACTCCTGCTATGTAGGAAGTGCTCAGGCTTTTTGCTGACACTGTTTTATCTATACAACCATCCTATGAAGGAGGTACAATTATCCCTATTTTGCAGATGAAGAAACAGACTCAGAAGGGTTAAATGACTTGCCCAAGACTATACTGCCCTTAGGGCAGAAGTCACCCTGAGAACAGGCCACTTTGGCTTCAAGGCTGGTGGCCCTTTTCTCACAATGTGCAGCAACACAGGGGAGTCTGGAATGCTGAGAAGGCTCCAAATCTCTGGCAGTGTCTAAAATGTTTATCTTACTCAGCTCTTGCTTATGCAAAGGATTTCAGTCCATTCCTGCTCCACAAGGATTTACCCCTGGGAGAAAGGAGTTTGTTATTGTAAATAACTACTTATTTCTTCTCACATTCTTTGTTCTACTCCCTTCTTTACGTCTGAAAGATCAGAAAAGTTTACATAAAGTCGGTAGCTCATTTAGATGACAATAAATGCTTCCTGGAATTCTGTTTTATTTCCTTCAGAGTATTATAAGACAGAACCAAATTACTGCTGTCTTCCTTTTATTACTTTTGTGTTATCCTTTGATATTTCAAATTTGGGCTGTTCCTGGAAGAAACCATAATACTGCTTATAACTCTGGTTACCTACTGAAAATTTCAGGAACTTCACTGTGCACAGTGGCTTTCCCTTATAATCCCAGCACTTTGGGAGGCTGCAAGGTGGGAGAATTGCTTGAGGCCAGGAGTTTAAGAGCAGCCTGGGGAATACGCGAGACCCCCATCCGTAAAAAAAAAAAGAAAAGAAAAGAAAGAAAGAAAAGGATGAAGAACCATAATTCAGTTCTTCATCTTTTTTCTAAAAGATTAAGTTGAATTTGTCTGAAAAAGAAAATAAAAATATATCAATTGACATGATTGATATATTTTTGACATGATTGATATATGTGCCCTGTATTTGTGAAGGCTTGATAAATTCTAACTTAAGGCTAAGGGTAGGATTCTAAATACTAATTGTCATTTAAATAACTGCTCACCTAACTTCTGAAAAATTAATGATAAATATTATTTCTAAATTCCATCCTTTTTTTCTTTTCTTCTTTCATTGATTCAGTAAACATTTATTGAGTCCCTACCATGTTGTAAGCCTATTAAATTTCTATAATTTGAGGTGACTGTATGATGACGAGGCCCAATGTTCCATGTATACTATATACCAAAATACTGATAGAATTAAATATCTATCACACAGATAGAATGACAATTCAACATTGTTTTCATTAATTATAGAAGACAAAATGATCAATTTACAATATGGCCATCTTTGGGAAAGAAAAGATGATATTCTTTACCCATCTAGATAATAACTATTAACATAAATATAAGGCTTTGGGGGAAAAAAGATTTTTTTTTTTAAAAAGTATCTTAGATGTACTTTCCACATAAACTCTTTGTTCTAGATCTTCAGATGCCAGCCTTCTCCCATTTCCACCTCCTTCCATATTCCTGTTCTTTCTCTCCAAATCTTCCTGCTCTTTAAGGCTCATTCTGTATTCATCCATGTTCATTAATCCTTCCTGAGTCCATAGTGCTCTATTGCTTTTCCAAATTTCTAACACACTTCAAGTCTTTATCCCACGACCTGGCATGTGAATTACATACCATGATATTATTCTTGGAGCACTGGGAATGTATGTGCATCCTGCTACCTATATGCAGTAATTAGTTCTTTAAGATTAAGGTCAATAATTTCTACTTCATTCCCTATTCTATAGCTGTCAGTTTAATTCGGGGAAACATTTAAAGTCTTATAAATCTGATTCAGAAAAAAACAAAAACATTGAAATAATTATTTTCTAGACAAGCCGTTGGATCCTTCAGTTTAAGAATGTGGAGAAAATAAAGGATACTAAGAAAAGAGCCAAAAAAGTATAAAAAGTATTGGGAGAATGATATAAATTGGGAAGGTTAGAGCAATAAGGATTATCTCTCTTTAAGGCACAAAGACTAAGAGAAGATATATCTTCTTCCAGCACTTTAGTGATTCTCACACATAAAATGGTGAACTGCTATTCCCTGACAATTTGAAAGACAATACAAGAAATGACTTAAAGTGACCTAAGAGGGATTTAAGCTAGTCTCTATTCACTCCAGATAGTAGAGAGGCTTTAAATCTCAAGTTTTTGCCTGATTCTCCAATTATGAGCTCCAGGTTAGAATGAAAGGAGTCTATTTCATTGTGAGTATGTCATGAGATATAATCCATGGTTCTTAGATGTCCCTAAGTGCATCCTTCTTGAATATGTTTCTTCTTTAGAAACTCTTTCACAAAATGTACACTAATGAAAAAAAATTAAATACCCTCTTACTGTGACCTGAGAGAATGTACCCACTCTTACTCTATATCTGCCAATAAGAGTTTACTCCCCTGCTTCAGAATCTGAAATTCAACTTTTTTTGTTGTGTTGTTGTTGTTGTTAGTATGGTGGCTTGTGGTAGACAGTATATTGGAAAGAGTTAGAGGACTTGAGTGTGTATTCTGGCTTCAAAACTTCTAACTATATGGGCAAATGATGTAATTTTCCTAAGCCTCCTTCATCTGTTATTAAGCATCCT